ACAATATTTTCCACTTAGTGTTAAATGCTACCTTAAATATACAATATATGCTTTATTTATTTGGACTTATGTACTACCAGGCTGTTCCAATGTTATGACTGTATATTCAAGTGCCAATACCACACTGATTTAATTATAGTGGCTTTATTTTTTGATAACAGTAAATCTGCCTCTTCTTTTAATCCCAGAATTCCACACCAGATTAGTCTTTTTCTTTATCATCCTAGTTATTCTTCCTGATTTTGTTTTCTATATTAATGTTAGCATCAGGTTTTTCAATTCTCTCAGATTTTCTGTTGGTATTTTTTGTATAGATTTACTTAAGGTTAACATCTTTATGAAATTGAATCTGCCTGTTTAAATACTTGGTATTATTTTGATACCCTCAGAAGTATTTTGATATTCTCTTAATCTAGATCCTGAAAATGTACTATGAGTGTTATTACTGAATATCTTGTATTTTTCCCCCATGATCTTCTGTAATAGAGATCATTTGTATACATAAAGGAAAATGATTTCTGTATTTTAATTTTATACTGAGCTAACATACTACATTTTATTATCTAATAGTTTCTAAGTAAGATATACTTTTCTTTCCAAACAACAGTATTAGCAAAATTAAATTGCATCTGTAAACAATAACACTAATTTTATCTTCTTAATTTTTTTCTAATGTTTTATTTTACTAAATTATATGGCCAAGTATCTAGAAGGATCCAACAGCATTGTAGTAGGGGTTGATTTTAACTTTTTTGGAGATGATTGGATTTTGACAAATTTCTTCCTCTGGTAATTCATATATTAGATATTTTGTTTTTGTTAATTTTACTTTAATATATAATATAAATTTTATTCAGGTTTTATATTAATTTGTTCAGTTTATTAAAACAGATTTTCATTTTCTAAATTTTCCCTAACTGATCACTGCTTCCTTATTATTTCTTATATTAGGTGTTTGTGCTTTTTCCTTTCCTTTTTGACTGAGCTACTTCAGTGGTTCTCAATTCGAACAATTTTGATGCCCCCAAGAGGAAAATTGGCAATGTTCATAAACAGTTTTGGTTGTTAGAGCTAGCAGTGGAAGGGCTACTGGCGTCTTCTAGGGATGCTGCTCAACGTCCCGTAATGAATAGGACTGCACCCACAACAAAAATTACCTTCCTTAAGTACCAACGTTGAGGCATCCTGGCAGCTAAAATTTATTTATATTATTATATTTTTTCAAAGAACCTGCTTTTGTATTTACTAGTCCTACCTTTTTGTTTCTAATTCATCGATTTATTTTAATCATTACAATATTCTTCCTTCTACTTTCCTTAGGTTTCATGGTATTTTGACTAATTTCTGAATATGAATGATTAATGTGTTTATTTCCTCTTCTTTTGTTGTTCCTTTACATAAATATTTAATACAGTGATTTGTTTTTTCTGAGCACAGCCTCAACTATATGTCATAAATACTGATGCAACGAATTTTTATTATTTGTCTATGAAAGTCCAGTAATTTTGGTCTTGGTCTCTATTTTGATTGAAGATATACTTAAGAACATTTGGTTTAGTTATTTGATGAACCTTGAAAGCATTTTTCTTTAATATGTGAATTTAGCCAGTATATATTTCATTCCTTAAATAAATTTTTGCCTGCAGTCATGACCCAGGCAGTGCTCCAGGTGCTGGAGACACAGCAGTGGACAAAACAAGCAGAAATCCTTTCCCTCGTAGAACTATCAATAGGGCAGATATATTTAATTTAAATTCTAGCATAGTTTCATGTTATGCTTTTCCATCTTTAAGGCTTTTTGGTATTTTGTTTTTGCTTACTTTGGAGTGTGTGTGTGGGGCGGGGGCGAGAGAGAGAGAGAGAGAGAGAGAGAGAGAGAGAGAGTGAGTGTGTGTGTGTGTGTGTGTGTGTGTGTGTGTGTGTGGCTTCTGGTCATTAGAAAGTTGGTATTCTTGATCTAGAATAACTTTTATAACCTAAATCCTCTGTTTCTTTAAACTTTATTGGATTCTCCACTATAACCAATGATGGAGTTAGTATATTTGTTTTTCTTTATACTGTCCTTTCCTCTTATCCACTTGATTTTGGTTAATTACATAATCTTTCTAGCGTTTTCCTTTGAGGTATTAAATACATTTATATTCACATTACTTATTTTGAAGTATTGAAAATATCCTTTAAGTCCTGGTATTATAACTGAGAAAATTACCATACTTATCACTCTCTCACGCAGGCATGTATCATTTACATTCTCTTCTGTCACCTTAATCATTTCATATGTTTAAGTCATTTTTCAACAAATGTATAGACTCAAATCTCAGTACTAATCTTTTTACATAGTCTTTCCAAAAATGTATTTTTGTTCAGTGATATTCTTCTTCAAGAAGAACTCATGAGAATAGTATTCCCTGAATTCTTACCTGTTAAAAATTGGGCTTTGTTTGTATTTGTACTTGAACGCTGCTGGATATTAAAGACCTTGATTATTTCTTTTTCTTTCCCTGAGTATTTTGTGGGCATTGATTCACCACATTCTAGAATTAAATGTTGCTGTGCAGATACCTAAGTTTGGTTTTATTTTTTTCCCTCCTTGTAATTGGCTTGTTCTTATTTCCTGAAAGCTCAAAAGAGTCCTTTCCTTAGCCTTTAGGTTAGCTGCTTTAAAAAGGCATAACTTTAAAAAAGTTGCCTACAGAATATTATCATTTGACAGATAAAGTTAATAAATTACCAGTCAGGCACATTTGATAATGTTTGTCTCTGTAAAGGTAATGTTAGCAGTTAAAAAACATGGATGATAAAAGAATGTGTTACATAGGTTGCATCACTTGCAGTTAAATAAAACTCACAATTTGTGCTCACAAAAAAAAAAAATTTGCTTCGTTGTGATGAAGCGCATGATAATATCATACAATATGAAATTACAAATAATATACAAAGTACAGATAAAAGTCTCTGAGAAATTGGAAGGGGAGCATGTCTTCTGACCAAATATCAGACCACATTTTTTATAGGATTTAAGTGGAGCCTTAAATGGTTAGAACATGAGGACTGGAAAGGAACAGAATACAGCTGGGTGATAACGGGACATTGGGTGATACCATCACTGTGCATTAGGCCATCTATTTTACCAGATTCTGAGCAGTTTGAAGTCAACAACTACTTCTGATGTGTCTTTTTATTTCTTGCAAATAGCACAATCTTTTGCATATAACAGCTAAGTTTATTTTTATTGTTGCATGTTATCGTTCTTACTGTAGCAGGTAAACACATTTATATTGGTTTTCAGAGCAAAAAATTTTATCAGAAAATCATCTTAAATTCAGTGAAAAGTTGATATTCCCAAAAATATGTAACATAAATATATGACGGGAAATTAAATAAGTCATTATATTCTTATTATAACATTGATTTATCTTTTTTAATGACAATTATTTTCACTACTGGGCTAGAAAAATCTAGAAAGCTTTCCAATATATGGTAATTAGATATGGGATCCATCACTCAATCTGTGCTGTTGAATAACAAACATATGGAAAAATCAAGCATGAATGCACCTGTTTTGTCCTATTTCCTCTGAGCCTTCAGCATACTAATGGATTACTGTTTAAGGGTCTGGTTTTAACTTGCACAACATCTGTGAAAAATGTATAAGACAAGTTTCCTGATTGAGTTTTGCTCTTCCAAGAAGGCCGTATCTTGGGCTTTCATTCAAAGACTATTATTTCTGAGATCTTCACCCCTATACCCACAGTGTCTAATATAACTTTTTCTCACCTTTCATTTTACCCTCTTTCACTAAGACTTCAGATATTTACTGGGGCTTTCCAACTTTAAACTTAGTTGTAACTTGAGTTACACCGTTAGCAGGATTAGTAGTCTATCGCGATAGTCCCCAAACTTTGTGGCGCCAGTAGCCAGTTTCATGGAAGACAATTTTTCCACAGACTGGTGGGAGGTTGAGAATGGTTTCCAGATAAAACAATTCCATCTCAGATTATCAGGCAGTAGTTAGGTTCCCACAAAGAGCGCTCAACCTAGATCCCTCACATGTGCAGTTCACAATAGGGTTCACGTTCCTATGAGAATCTAATGCCACTGTTGAACTGACAGGAGGTAGAGCTCAGGCGGTAGTGCTCAGTCACCTGCTGCTCAGCTTCTGCTGTGTGACCCATTCCTAACAGGCCACAGACCAGTACCAGTCTGTGGCCCAGGAGTTGGGCTATTGCTAGAATAAGCTTCATGTAATTAATGGTTGTGTCCCAATTTGGTATTAAAAGAGCAATTTCCCATCTCATTGTGTTCACCAAAATTCAGTGTAAGAGGTCAGGGATTTATTCTTACTTCTTTAATGAAAAAACAAATCTGTTGAAATCAGTAGTTCTAGAAACATCAATGCAAACAAAATGGACCAGTTTCCATGGATTTTTGTATTGTTAATTTTGAATAACGTTAACGTGTATGGATGCTATCATTTGTATGCAAGCCAAATAGAGAATAGAAAGGAGCTACCTTGTTATGTTTTCCACAGATATTTGTGGAGCTCAGTTGACATTTTGGGCTATGTACACTTCTAGATGCTGTATATAGGTATGTCTTTTCATAAGTATGAAGATTAGGAAAAGCTGTACACTAAGCAAAATCATTCTGTGGGATTGGAGTGTTGATCTGTATTACACTAAAACCTCTGCTTTTATTAGGATGCTGGTCTGCTTTCCAAGATGAGTACTGTTTATGGAAAATGTACTTCCCATCAGATTTGGGAGAATTAGATTAGTATAGACCTGACTCAGCATGAGCTTCAGCCATCCCAGGTTCACCATTGATAGGCCTAGCACTGCCCAAAGATTGCCATTGAAAATGTGCTCCAGGAGGACTACATGTGGAATGACCAAAGGAATTCATTGAGTTAGAGTAAACTTTAAACCTATAAGGCACCTTTGAAGCAGCCATAAGATGATGGAAAGAGCAATATATGTAACACAAAAACCTGAGATTACCAGCTCTGCTCTTTTCCAGAGATAACTCACTTAATTCTGTGAGCTTCCATTTACGATTCTGTCTAGTGGCACATAAAATAAAATAGCTGAAGTCTTTCTGCTTAATAAAAGTTTAAAAATTACAGTCAGTCATTTTATTGTACAGGTAACAAAGCTGAAACTTGGAATAAGAAAACGACCTGGTGGACCCCGATCAGTATGCATCTGCCCATTGCCTCCCCCTGCTGGCACACTCCAACCACTACCTCCACCTGCCAGCACGTACCTGCCTCATCCTCCCCCTGCCAGTGCATACTGACCTTCAGCCTTCCTCTGCTGGTGTGTACTCACCTGCAGCCTCCCCCATTGGTGTACATGTGTGTGGAAACCCCCACCACCCCATTGGAGCAATTTTGCCAGCAGCCCCTGCCTGAGTGTTGAAAGTGAACTGAGAACAACCTCAGCCCCTCCAGCACAGCACGTGTTTAACCTCAAAGGGCCAGAGAGCAAAACTACGGGACTAATCCCAGTCTGCCAAGATTAGAGCATGCAGCTCAACAGTGCTGAGATAAGCATAAAAGCATTCAGAATTGAAGCCAATTCATGAAACCCAATTTATGCCATAGTCAAAACCTCAAGAGTATCAAATAATAAAAAAGCAAAAAGCCCTGCCCAAAAGACAGTAACTCCAAATATCAAAGGAGAAGGAGCATCAGTCTGCACAGATAAGAACTATTGCAAGAACTCTAATGATTCTTAAAGCCAGAATGTCTTCTTAGATCCAGATGACTGCACTGCCTCCCCAACAATGTTTCTTAACCAAACTGAAATTGCTGAAATGACAGATACAGAATTTAGAAGGTGAATGACAAGGAACCACATATAGTTAACAGGAAAAGGTTAAACCCAATCTCAAGAACACAGTAATACAGTCCAAGAGTTGAAAGAGTACACAGCCATTTTAAGGAGAAACAAACTGAATGTCTGGAAGTGAAAATTTCACTCCAGGAATTTTAGAATGCAATTAATAACTGAATAGATCAGACTGAGGAAAAAAGTCTCAGAACTCGAAGACTGTTTTTTTTTTGAATCAATGCAGGCAGAAAAAAAAAGAATTTGAAAAATGAATAAAAGCTCTGAGAAATACGTGATTTTGTAAAGAGACCAAACCTGTAACTAATTGTCATTCTTGAAAGAGATAGAAGGAGAGCAAGCAACTTAGAAAACATATTTGAGAATATTGTTGATGAAAATTTCCCCAACCTTGCTGGGGAGATCAACAAGCAAATGCAGGAAATTGAGAGAACCCCTGCAAAATACCGTACAAGATGACCATCCCTAAGACACACAGCTATCAAGATTCTCTGAAATAACTATGAAAGAAAATGATCTTAAAGACAGCTAGAAATAAGGAGCAGGTCATGTTCAAAGGAAACTCCATCAGTCTATAGTGGACCTTTCAGCAGAAACCTTATGAGCCAGAAGAAATTAGGGGCCTATATTCAGCATCTTTAAAGAAAGAAATTTCAACCAATAATTTCATATTCAGGAAAACTAAGCTTCATCTGTGGAGGAGAAATAAAATCCTTTCCAGACAAGCAAATGCTAAGGGAATTTGTTACTACCAGACTTGCCTTATAAGGGATCCTTAAGAGAGTGCTAAACATAGACACAGGAGATCATTTCCTGCCACCACAAAAACACACAATATGTACATAGCCCACTGACACTATAATGCAACTATACAATTAAGTCCACATAATAACCAGCTAACAACATGGGACAGGATCAAATGCTCACATATCAAAATTAACCTTGAATATAAATGTACTAAATGCCCCTACTTAAAAGACACCGAGTGTCATGTTGTATAAAGAAGCAAGACACAACTGTAGATTCATCTCACATGTAATGACATCCATATGCTCAAAATAAAGGGATAGAGAAAGATCTAGCAAAGGGAGAGCAAGAAAGAGCAAGTGTGGCTATTAATATTTCAGATAAAACAGACTTTAAGCCAACAATCATCAAAAGGGAAAAAATAAGGGAATTTCATAATGATAAAGGGCTTAATTCAACATGAAAGCTTAACTATACTAAATATGTATGCATCAAAAACTGGAGCACTAATATTCATAAAAGTTCTTACAGACCTATGAAGAGACGTAGATAACCAAACAATAATAGTGGGAGACTTCAAAACCCTAGTGACAGTATTAGACAGATCATTAAGTAAGAAAGCTAACAAAGATATACCAAATGTAAACTCAGCACTTACGAAATGGACTTGACAGATGTCTAAAGAATACTATATCCAACAGCAATGGAATATACATTATTCTTATCTGCACATGGCACATACACTAAGACTGACCACACTCTTGGCCATAAAGCAGTTCTCTATAAATGCAAACAAACCAACCAACAAACAAAAACCTGACATCATACAAGCTACACTCTCAGAACACAGCAAAATAAGAATGAAAATCAATAAGAAGAAAATCTCTCAAAACCATGCAATTACATGGAAATTAAACAACCTTCTCCTCAATAACTTTTGTGTGAAGAACACAATTAAGGCAGACATCAAAAATTTCTTTGAAACTGATGAAAATGAAGATACAACAAACAAAATCTCTGGGACACAGCTAAAGAAGTGCTAAGAGGAAAGTTTATAGCGTGAAATGCCTACATTAAGCAGTTAAAAAGATCTAAAATTAACAACCTAACATTAAAACTAGAGGAACTAGAAACGCAAGAGCAAACCAACCCTAAAGCTGTCAGAGTAAAAGAAATATCCAAAATCCGAGATGAACTAAATGAAATTAAGACACAAAAATACATACAAAAGATGAATAAACCCAAAAGTTGTTTCTTTGACTGGATAAATAAGATTGATAGACAACTAGGTAGATTAATTAAAAAATGAAAGAAGATCCAAATAAACACAATCAGAAATGACAAAGGTGACATTACTACTGACCCCATAGAAGTATAAAAATCCCCCAGAGACTATTACAAACACCTCTCTGCACACCAACTAAAAAACCTAGAAGAGGCCGGACACAGTGGCTCACGCTTGTAATCCCAGCACTTTGGGAGACCAAGGTGGGTGGATCACAAGGTTAAGAGATTGAGACCGTGCTGGCCAACATGGTGAAACCCCGTCTCTACTAAAAATACAAAAATTAGCTGGTTGTGGTGGTGCAAGCCTGTAGTACCAGCTACTCAGGAGGCTGAGGCAAGAAAATTGCTTGAACCTGGGAGGCAGAGGAGCTGAGATTGCACTACTGCACTCCAGCCTGGCTATAGAGCAAGACTCTGTCTCAAAAACAAACAAACAAACACCTAGGAGAAGTCGATAAATTCCTGAAAACATACAACCTCCCAAGATTGAATCGGGAAGAAAATGAAATCCTGAACAGGCCAATAACAAGTTCTGAAATTGAATCAGTAATAAAAATATACGCACTAGAAAAGACCCTGACCAGATGGACTCACAGCCAAATTTTACCAGATATATGAAGAAGATCTGGTACCAATTTTGCTGACATTATAGCACAAAATAAAGGAGGAGGGACTCCCGCCTAACTCATTCTATGAGGCCAGCATACTTCTAAAACCAAAACCTGGCAGGGACACAGGGAAAAAGAAAACTTCAGGCCAATATTCTTGATGAACATAGATACAAAATCTTAAAAAAAAAAAAAAAACCAGCAAACCAAAATCCAGCAGCACATCAAAAAGCTAATCCACCATGATAAAACAGGCTTTATTCCTGGGATGTCAGGTTGGTTCATCATATAGAAATCAATAAATGTGATTCATCACATAAACAGAACTGAAGACAAAAATCACATGATCATCTCAATAAACACAGAAAAGGCTTTTTAAAAATTCAACATCACATCCCTTCATTTAAAAACACAAAAACTCAACCAACTCACCATCGAAGGAACATACTTTAAAATAATAGTAATCATCTTGACAAACCAATAGTCAGTATCATACTGGATGGGAAAAGGCTGAAGCATGCTGCCTGAGAACTGGAAGAGGGTAAAGATGCATACTCTCACCACTTCTATTCAACACTGTACTGGAAGTACTACCCAGAACAATCAGGCTCAGGAAAAAATAAAAGGTATCCAAATAGGAAGAGAGGAAGTCAAATTATCTCTCTTTGTAGATGATATGATTCTATATCTAGAAAACCTCATAGTCTCCACCAAAGGTTTCTAGAACTGGCAACTTCAGAAAAGTTTCAAGATGCAAAATAAATGTACAAAAATTAGTAGCTCAACCATAGCTGGCAGCCAAATCAAGAATTTGATCCCATTTACAATAGCCACAAAAGGAATCAAGTGCCTAGGAAGACAGCTAACCAGGGAGGAAGGGGAAAATACTCTGAAAATTGCAGAAACAGCTGAAATAAGTTAGAGATTACACAAACAAAAACAACATTCTATGCTTATGGATAGGAAGAATCAGTACTGCTAAAATGGTCATACTACCCAAAACAGTTTACAAATTCAGTACCATTCTTATCAATTAATGTCATTTTTCACAGAATTAGAAAAAAAATCCTAAAATTCATATGGATCTAAAGCAGAGCTGGAATAGCCAAAGCAATCCTAATCAAGAAGAACAAAGCCAGAGGCATTACACTACCAAACTTCAAACTATATTACAAGGCGACAGTAACAGATACAGCAGTAGGCTACAGTAAAAAAACAACATGGTAAGTGGTACAAAAATAGACAGCTAGACCAATGTTAGATAACCCAGAAATAAAGCCATACACCTACAACCATGGGATCTTTGACAAAGCTGCCAATTAGCAATCAATGGGAAAAGGACTTCCTATTCAGTAAATCATGCTGGGATCACTCACTAGCCATATACTGAAGACTGAAACGAGACCACTTCTTTTTACCTTATACAAAAATCAACTCAAGATTAAAGACTTAAATTTAAGACCTCAAATTGTAACTGTCCTAGAAAACAAATCTAGGAAATAACACTCTGGACATGACCTTGACAAAAATTTCATCACAAAGACTACAAAAGTATTGCAA